TTATGTGCATGGAGTTTTTTATTTTGATGTGAATGTGCATGGAGTTTTACATAATCAGGCCAACGCTAATCGTGAAATACCATGCAAAACAAATGTAAATACGCCAGGCATCATGGACGGCATTAACATCCCGAAAAAAAGATCTGCCACGCGCTACGCCTGCACCGCACCCATCAAACGGCAATGACTCACGACTGAACAGCTGACTCGCGTTATGGCTAATTAAAACAGCCTAGCGCGCATCAATTACACCCAGGTGCCCTGCATCCAATTATGGCACCCAAATGTCAAATGTCAAACCAACAGATGCTGTTACCACCGTTTCTGAACCCATCTTCGCAAAACCTGTCAGCGTTGTTTCTAGCGCAGTTACCCTAGCTATCAATGCTTCTTGACCTCTCATCCGGCATCGCAACTCTCCTTTTCCTGAAAGCATTGGGCAGCGGAACACCTATGAGACCAAGTAGTAATACTGTAGGATTGAGGCGCGTGAGAGATGATTACAGATGGACGTGTAAGCTCGTAGGCAAAGAAAACAAGAACAAACGCATCAGATAATGGCTAGGATGGGCTAACCTGATCTCTGTTTGTGCAGAACCCATCTCCTCCCCTGCTTCTGTTTTTATTTTTACACCCCTAGCCCGCTATTTGGAATCCTGCCGCTCTGCAACTCCGCTGCCGAACAGAGTGGCATGCAGTTATATCTCGGCGAGCCGCTTCGTAGTGAAGGAGCGGAGGGTTGCCGAACAGCCTAAGTGTACATATTGGGTGTCTTGTACAGCACCATACTCATAGTTTTGAGTACGTGTTGAGTGGAGGGTTGCCGAACACAGACTAAGTGTACATAATCTTGTTGCTTGTTCCAATGAACGCAAAGCCCACCTTAAGGCCCGCAAGGCCGAGGTGATGCCAGTGGGCAGGAAATGGCCCTAGGCATGGAGGCCTGAAGCTGCGCCATTGCTACATATCACTCTTTTTAGGGATCAACTAACCAACAAGTACCGGTCAAGGGTTATTTTGGTAGGCCGAGAGTGCACCACTTGGTGTGCTGTCAGCCGCCTCCACTTGTCACGTGCTTGGCGCTTCCTCGGATTTTTACCTTTTTTCCTGTGTATTGCGGGTTTTAGATGATATTCTTTTTTCAATTTTTCGGTTTTTGCTTGGTTTCCCTAGGTTACAGACACACAAAAAAATGTGGGAAAGAATTGCACGGATAAACACATTTTTGATAGGTGGGAGTGACCTTTGCGAGGGGTACTCCTTAATTAGTGATTTCGCTCTTTGCGGGGCGCATCTATATCTCACATAATGCGAGTTGGAACGAGCGCTCATATTAGGTGTCACACGGAATAGGCCGGCTCAGGTAGGTTTCAGGTAAGTTCGCCTTTTCTCTACGATTTTTTCCTTAGTCAGTTTGATTTTCATTTATGTTATTATTTTTTTGAAAATGGTATAAATACATACATTTCAAAACATAAAACATATTGTGATTTGGAAAACATTAATACAATGTAAAACAAATGTTGGCTTAACTAAAAAAATGTTGATAGCATATTGAAAACGAATTGTGACATTATACATTTCTTCACGTGTTTCACAAAAACTGTATGTGACATTTGTTCACGTGTTTCACAAAAACTGTATGTGACATTATAAAAAATTCTTAATCAAAAATGTTCACGTGGTTCAAAACAATTATGTGACATTATAAATAAAGATTTAAACATGTATTTGGAAAATGTTAAATGTATATCAATAAATGTTTCAGACGTATATGAAAAATGTACAATATTTATAAAAAAAGTAGACATCCAACATGCATTTGAATGAAATATTATGCATTTTATTTAAAATGATAAACATGCATTAATAACATGTTAAATGTGTATAAAAAATGTTCTTGGCATACACGAAAACTATAGACACAAAAACAATTATTCTACAAAATGGTAATTTTGTGTTTGAAAAAATGAACATCTATAAAAATAATGTTTTGCGTGTACATGGATAATGCGCATAAAAAAGCCAGGAAATGCAATACAAAACAACACACAGAAATGAAGAAGAAAACCATGAACAAACACACTTCGAAAGAAAGAAAAAACCTAAATAAAATCGATGAAAATAAAAATAAATGAAGAATACTGAAGAAATCAATGAAAACCGAAGAAAGAAAAAAGAAACCTGATGAAAAACAAAGAAAAACAATTGTTTGTGATGTATGTAATAAATGTAGGCATAAAAATCCATTATAAGCAAATGTTAATCGCATATTTAAAAATGTTGAACATGTTTAAAAATAATATTTTATATGTATAGAAAAAACGTACAAGGTCTATAAAAAAATTAGACATCAGAACATATATAATAAAAATATACACATAAAAATTATAATTTCTTAAGTCTGTTAATCTTATATTGGGAAAATGTTAAAAGTTTATATAAAATTGTTTTAATGTACAAAAAATGTTGAATGAGTACCGGAAAAAACATGTCTTGAAAAAAATGAAACTGATGAAAATCGACAAAAAATACAGGAAAACAAAAAAACCAATAAAAGGCAATAAAATAAAACCAATGCAAAAGAATGATCCCGAGAAGGAAACAAAGATAAAAATGAAGAAAACCATGAAAAGAAACAATGAAAAATGTAGAAAACAAAGAAAGAACGAAAATCCAGTGAAAAATCAAGAAAGAACCAAACAAAAACAAAGAAAAAAGAAAAAAGAAAGAAAAGTCAGTAAGACTATGAAAGAAACAAAGAAAACAGGTAAAAACAAAGGAAGACATAAAAAACTATCTGAAGAAATAAAATAAAACGTAAAAGAATAAAAAAATGAACCAGTACGATTCACCAAGCAAGCAAGCGCTCTGAAGCGAGCAAGCGACCTAAGCGAATGGGTCGGCCGATATGCGCGCTCTTCAAGGGAGAGGAATGTCATACTCGCTTGAGGCGAGATATATCGGCTGGCAACAACCACCCCTCTCCTCGCAGGACGAAAAGAAATGGCGCCTGGCAATTATGGTCGGCTGGCAATTATGGTCCGCAGAGCAATTTCAGTCGGCAGGGAGCAGCAGGACCACGCGTCTCCACCCACCCCACGTACACGTGTGCGCCCACCACGAGCGCTCGTTCTGCTCCGCTTATATTATATCCATCCATCCTCGATCCATCTAGGCTTTCACCGTCTCACACACACACAAAATTCGTCACAGTGATCAAAGAGTGAGATTGCTTAGTATTAGCAGCTGCACCGACGTAAGTGCGACGATGGACGCGCCGGCCCCCGACAACATCGCCGGTGAGCAGTGCGACAGTGAATTTCGTCTCTGGATTCCCCCCGGCACGGCGTCGCCATTGGTATATCCGTTATGACGAGTTCATTGTTGATTTACTTGCAAATGTGTGTGCCTGCAGCTGAGGAGGGCGGGCAGCAACAGATGCACCAGGACGAGAAGGAGCACAGGCCGATGTTCAGGAGAGTCAAGGACAGGATGAGGAAGATGAAGAACACCATCGCCGGCCACGGCCACGATCACGATCACGATCACGAGCAGGACACCGGGGGCGGTGGTAGCAACAGCACCGGCGAGGACGAGGAGGATGCGGCGACGAGGGAAGCCGAGGTGGACAAGGGCGGATACCAGCAGCAAGACGTCGAGGACAAGCCCATCTTCGCGGACTCCAGTCCCGAGCAGCACGGCGCACCCAGTAAGTAGATGCTCGCGGTGTGTGGCACTCGTCTACTCTGTCGGTGCTTAAGGCTTCTATCGCTTGTGATGATTGGTTGCAGTGTACGACTCGGAGAGGATCCCTGCGGCGGCCAAGGAGGTGGAGCACAACGACGCTCCGGCAGCGGCGCAGGAGGTGAAGCGCGACGACGCCGCGGGGATGCGGCTCGGCGACTTGGGCGGCCCGCCGTCGGCGAAGGAGGTGAAGCTGGACGACACCCAGAGGGTGCCGCTCGGCGACCTTGGCGCCCCGGCAGCGGCGCAGGAGGTGAAGTGCGACGACGCTCCGGGGGTTTGGCTTGGTGACCTTGGCGCCCCGGCAGCGGCGCAGGAGGTGAAGCCCAACGAGGCTCCGGGGGTGCGGCTTGCTGACCTTGGCGCCCCGGCAGCGGCGCAGGAGGTGAAGCGCGACGACACCCAGGGGGTGCCGCTCGGCGATCTCGGCAGCCCTGTCGTCGAGGACCCGGCCGTGCCGAACTCGAGCACGCCCATGCCGCCAGGTGGCCAAGACATCGGCACGACGGATGCCGTCCGTAACTTGGAGGCGATGACTGTGTCAGACGACCCCAAGCAAGTCGGCGCACGGAAGATGGACGTCGACGTGAGCAAAGAGTATGAGGCAATGCCGGTGTCGGACGGCACCGGGGAGGAACGGAACGACGCACCCACGGACGCCGAGTACACCGGGAGCGACACGGACAGGCTCAAGAATACGGCAGCTGGCACGGTGTATGAGAAGGTCGCCGGCGTCGGCACGGTCATGGCGAGCAAGGCGCAGCAGGTCACCCCCGGCGTCGGCGCTGGCGGGAACGCGCAGGACGACTCCAGCGCAACTGCCGCCCCTGAATCGGTGACCGCCGGTGCCGGGAAGAGGGACCTCGACTTGCCGCAAGAGGGAACGGCGGCGTCCTACACCGGCACGGAGGGGCTGAAGGACGCGGCAACGGACGCGACGGGCACGGAGGGGCTGAAGAACGCGGCCACGGACGCGACGGGCACGGAGGGGCTGAAGAACGCCGCCACGGACGCGACGACGGAGGGCGCGCCTGGCGCGACGTACACGGACATGATCAAGTCCGCGGCGGCGGGCACCACGGAGTACGGCAAGAAGCTGGCTAGCACGGTGTACGACATGATCAAGTCCGCGGTGGCGGGCGCCACGGAGTACGGCAAGAAGCTAGCGAGCACGGTGTACGAGAAGGTCGCCGGCGTCGGCACGGCCGTTGCGAGCAAGGCCCAGCAGGTGACGACATCGGCCGGCACCGCGGTGCTTCACGGCGCGGCTCCAAGGACCAACACGAATGTGATGTGAAGTGCAGCCTGTGAACACTGATCAGTGCGCCGGGGTCGATCGTGGGATCGCTGGAATAAGTCGCCTGCTTGGTGGTTGGGTTCATCTGGGGCTTCATCGTTCCTATATTTTGGGCAAAACGTGTTCTACAGGTGTTCGTGTGAGTTTCACACGGTTTTGTATGTCTGTAAATCATGTACGGTACGCGTGTGTATGTACATGTTTCTGTCTGTCTGTAAATTCTTTTCAACTTCACGTGTGTAATCTGTGTCTTCAAACACTCGATGTTTCTTCGTCTGTCTTCTTCTGCTCCTCGTTGCCAGATGATTGTGATCCACCTCATCAGCTAACACGTTCAACTTCTTCAGCAGCCTTGTACTGCACCCGTATTGGGAATGTTCTTCAGCAACTTGGTGGAAGAAATTCCCGCAAAAAAAAAAAACTTGGTGGAAGAAAATAAGTTCAGAGTATCTCCAAGTTCCCAACAACAATGAATCCAAGTTCCCAACAACAATGAAGGTGGAATTGGAGAAGTTGGGCCCAAAACACTCGGCTCCAACATGTTGAAAACAGCCCAGCTCCCCTTCCAATGAAAAGGTGCTTAAATGAGTTGCTAAATGCATTAAGACCCTGTTTGTTTGGGATTTTGCTTCTACTTTTGCAGCTTTTTCACTTTGGTCAAAAAACCATAAAAACTTCTAAATAGGTTCTTTTGGGTCTATTTTGGTTTTTGATGAATCAATATAACAATATTTAGCTCCAAAAGCCATAAAAGCTCAAAAAAACACATATTTAGAAGTTTTTGTGGCTTTTTGGTCAAAGTGGAAAAGCTGCAAAAGCAGAAGCAAAAGGCCAAACAAACAGGGCCTAAATAGCTTAGGGAGGCCTCTTCCAATGCAATGGTGCTTGGATGAGGTGTTAAATGCATTAGATAGCTTAGCAACTCAAGTGCCCAATTGCATAGGTGCTTAACTTGTTGTAACTAATCTTACTTCGTTTAAGTGTTTTGCCTAGGTTGATCTACTTGGCATTGGTTTTTCCTGGGTCACCAAAGTGCTTCTCTCCTTCTTAAGTATTTGTACCATGTCATTTTTTTGTGTGGCATGCTTAGCATATGTATACCATGAAGCGCCGGGAAGGTGGAGTTGGTTCTCCCCATGAGCTTTGCTACACCTACGTGCTCCGACAACTTGAAAAACAACCCAACTCCCCCCCCCCTATATGAAGGTGGAATTGGCTGTCCCCCACCATGGCACCACCACCACCTGAACAGCTTGAGAAACAACCCAAACTCCGAAAAATACAAATGGTGCACGGGTAAATAAAATAGATCGCGAAGGCAAATAATGATAGATTGATGGTAAATAAAATAGACCGCCTCTTTGCTCTATCAATAGTAAATAATGATAGATCGAACGCCAAATAAAATAAATTGCAGCAAGGTATTTTTGTATTTTTGGTTTAGTATATCTGAAAATAAAAGGCAAATAAAATAGATCGTGAAGGTAAATAATATGAGAAAGAGACCCGGAGGGCGTAGGTTTCACTAGTGGCTTCTCTCAAGAAAAATAGCAAATGGAGGGTAAACAAATTACTGTTGGGCAATTGATAGAACTTCAAATACTCATGACGATATCCAGGCAATGATCATTATATAGAGATCACGTCCAAGATTAATAGACCGACTCCTGCCTGCATCTACCACTATTACTCCACGCATCGACCGCTATCCAGCATGCATCTAGTGTATTAACTTCATGGAGAAACGAAGTAATACAATAAGAATGATGACATGATGTAGACAAGATCCATCTATGTAGAGATAGACCCCATCGTTTTATCCTTAGTAGCAACGATACATACGTGTCAGTTCCCCTTCTGTCACTGGGATCAAGCACCGTAAGATTGAACCCACTACAAAGCACATCTTCCCATTGCAAGATAAATAGATCAAGTTGGTCAAACAAAACCCAAATATCGGAGAAGAAATACGAGGCTATAAACAATCATGCATATAAGAGATCAAAGAAACTCAAATAACTTTCATGGATAAAAGATAGATCTAATCATAAACTCAAAGTTCATTCGATCCCAACAAACACAACGCAAAAAGAGTTACATCATATGGATCTACAAGAGACCATTGTATTGAGAATCAAACCAGAGACAGGAAGCTATCTAGCTACTAACTACGGACCCATATGGATCCGTGATGTTGTCTAGATTGGATCTAGTAGTTTTGGACTCTGCGGCGGCTGAAATTGATTTTTGTGGACTCCCATAGGGTTTCTGAAATATTAAGGTATTTATAAAGCAAAGAGGCGGTCTGGGGGGCACCCGAGGTGGGCACAACCCATCAGGCGCAGCCTTGGCCCATTAGGTGTCTTCTGGTTCATAAAACATCTCCGTAAGGTTTTGTTGCATTTGGACTCCGTTTGGTATTGATTTTCTGCGATGTAAAAAATATGCAAAAAACAGCAACTGGCACTTGGCACTATGTCAATAGGTTAGTACCAAAAAATGATATAAAATGACTATAAAATGATTATAAAACATTCAAGATTGATAATAAAACAGCATGAAACAATCAAAAATTATAAGTACGTTGGAGACATATCAGCGAGCGGCGGCTCGGGGCTGTTGCATCGCCTGAGGCCGCCGGGTAGGGGCGACGGGCGTGAGGGGCTGCCTGTCGTGTGAGGCCGCCGAGTCGGTGAAGAAGCCGGCGGGTCGCGCCGGTGTTGGAGTAGAGGCGGACGGGGTCGACGATGGCGATGTGAGATGCAAACCAATTTTAGATCGGAAAACCAAAAAGAAAATGCCGGTCAAGACGAATGGCGAGAGAGAAAAACCCGGAGTAAGGGCTCGGAAAAAATACTCTCTAGGGTAGTCGGTCAACACGACCGGCGGACAAAACCTATGTACGGGCATGGCCCCCGACAGCGATCATGGAGATCAACCGCCCAAGGGGCGGTGCGATGCGGAAGTGGCGGGCAGCGGCTAGGGTTTGGATCGGTTAGACTAATCTCATGTTAGAAGGGATAGAGAAAAATTGGTGGAATCGTTGTTTATTGCTTGAGAATAATATCAGAGCACTTAAACGAGAATATCAGTAGTATATTTAATATATGACACAACGCTTTGTACGCCGTATTCAGTTTAACTAGAACGTGGAATCTAGTACTTAGTACAACAGCAGTATTTGTGAGACGGGAATCCTCGTCATCTCTGGCCGCCTCCTCCGTCTGCAGCTCGGGCGGTCTTCCCACTCCCTATCCCTTGTTCCACCTGCGAAACAGAGTATTCTCTTGTTTTATTAGAGCAGATAAGCGAAGCAGAGTATTCTTTACCCCCCAAATAAAAAACAGAGTATCCATGGCTCAGTTGTTGATTCATCGAACACAACAAAATTCAGATTCAGATAATAGCCAAAAGCCCAGTACGTACCTTGGCACCTTCTGGCACCCTCTGCTGCTCCACATCACCGCCGTCCATGGCAGCTTCGTCGGCCTGCTTCTCGCCCCAAGCAAAAACCCCATGGGTGTATGCCTTGTACGTGATCCACCCGACCTGACCGACTCCGATTAGCACCTATAGGTACCCACCTATGGGTGAATGATGAGACCAACCAAAACGAAGGAGGGAAAGAAGCAAACCATGCATTGCATGATGCATAGGACCATTATTACCAGATGGAGAACGTGCTCTGCATCCCAGGGGCTGCGTTTCTTGGCAAGATAATTGGCAAAAAGGCAATAATTCTCGACTGATACCATGATCAGATCGCGGAGCAGGTTGTCATATTCCATATGCAGTGTAACGAGAATCAGCTCGTATTCCATATGCTCTGCTTTGAGCTCATTTTATAAAAAAAAGAGGAGCACAGTCCGCCTTTTTTGCCAAAACGCACAAAAGAAAACCCTAGCAAGTACTCCCTCTGTCTCGAAATACTTGTCGAAGAAATGAATAAAAATAAATATATCTAAAACTAAAATATATCCACATACATTTATTTCATCAATAAGTATTTTCAGACGGAGAAACTACCTTGTTTCGTGCTAACAGAAGGGCATTGAGGCAGACGAAGAAAACTAGGATGACGTCGACTGCGGTGTTGTGCCAAGCATAATCCCCCGCTGGGATCTTCATGGGGAGCATCGAGGCTCCAGCTGCCATAAGGATCGCCATGCCCGAAATCTATACAGAAAATTGATGTAAAAGTAAACAAGACTTGTGGTAAATAAATATGTGAGGCGAAGTGTGTAAATAACAGAAGGGTTATCTCTCGCGTGCGACGTGTGATTCTTGTAGAGATGAATGACGATGATACAGTCTCGTGTAATGTCGGTCCGGATTGCTTCATCCAATAATACCGTCAAACCAAAGTATGACATGCTGGTAAGCAGTATGACTTATATTGCCCACAACTTACTTGTGTTGTACTCGTGCATATAACATCTACGCATAAATCTGGATCGGATACCGCTGTTAAAGACATGTAGTAATTTCAAAAAAATCCTACGCACACGCGAGATCATGGTGATGCATAGCAACGAGAGGGGAGAGTATGGCTACGTACCCTCGTAGACCGAAAGCGAAAGCGTTTATCAACACGGTTGATGTAGTCGTACACCTTCACGATCCGTCCCGATCAAGTACCAAACGTATGGCACCTCCGCGTTCAGCACACGTTCAGCTCGATGACGTCCTTGTCTTCTTGATCCAGCAAGAGGGGTGAAGTAGTAGATGAGTTCCGGCAGCACGACGGCGTGATGACGGTGTTGGTGAAGAACAATTTCCGTAGGGCTTTGCCTAAGCACTACGAAAACTATTACGGAGGATAAACTAGAGGGGGCGGGGTTACCGGCACACGGCTTGGTGTTTATTGATGTGTCTTAGGTGCTAGCCCTAACCCTCTATTTATATGTTGAGCATTGGGGTCGAAACTTAGAGTAAAAGCCTCCACAAAGTCGGTTTCACCCGAAAGGCAAGAGTCCTTCTCGGACTCCAGGGCCAGACGT